CTCTCTCTCTCTCTCTCTCTCTCTCTCTCTCTCTCTCTCTACAGCTGTCGTCCGATTTTCCAGCTCAAGCCACGATCGGATTACCGGAGAATAAACGTACTCCGTTGCTCCAAAAAACAAGGGAAGGAAAGAGGGGATAACTGCGAAGATAACTCGGAACTTTGAATTTACTTGCACTTTGAGTGGATACGATTTTATGTTGGTACCTCGATCTTAAGATTATTGTTAGTCCTAATCAAGTTAAATAAAATATTCCGTAAGTGCTATACTCTTCGTTGATTATACAGACTGTCACATTTTGCGTTGTTGAGATATTAAGTTTTTATAAAGTTTATTATTAATATAATTAGAAAATGGAAGATATCGAGTCGTCTTTGGTATACATATATCTCGGTTCAAATTACCTCCGAAGAGTAATTTAACATCAGGATAAGTGTATTTAAATGTTGCAGATTTCTGTACCCTTGAATTACACGAGGAGAATTGTGTTGACACATGATGCTATTTATAGATACGCGCCTTTGGCGAGCGAATGCGGACTCGTGTGATCGAGAGAGATATTTTCAATCTTTCGCGATTTAATGAATTATAGGCACTAAATCTAATTGGTAATTTGTAATTATTGTTACGTCAATAATATCGTAATACACAGTTTGCAAATACACAGTGACGCGTAGAAAACCGGTTGAAACCTGTGCATGATCGATCCATGGTCTATTTAATTTATGCCAAACTAATGTCACTATATATATGTTATACATATTATATGAAGTAGATATAAATATATGTATATACATACATACAAACAATAAAACTATATAAGCAACAAAATTATATATGTATATTATGTATATATATATATATTTAATTATAAATATGCATAATTATAAAAGCAATAAAAACTCATCATTTATCTACCAAGTTTATCTACCAGCATTTAAGTGTAAAAATATTTACATCAGAAGAAATTAATAAATTCTCTTTCGTTTTTATTTTTGAAAAATAATATTTTCCAAAGATTATCCACATTAAGGAAGCTTCAAATTTACAAAAGAACTTCAAAAATAAATTTTAGGAAAATATTTGTTTTTAAATATATTCTTCTGTTAATAATTACATTCTTCTTACATTAAGTTCTAATTGAAGCAAGTAATAAACTGACTAAAAAGAGTGAGAGAAAGAGAAAACAAACTCATAATACTGAAGAGCAAACAGAGTCGATATTCGCTCGTATATACTTACATATTTATGGCCGCAGTAAGTGATCCCTAAAGCGGACGGCGCGTCGTTTAAATAGGCTTTACAAGCGGCGGAGAACGTGTAATTTTTCGTCATCCCGCGGAACCCTAGTTTGGGAAGCGCTGGCTGAGAGAGAAAGGGAGGCACGCCGCTGTTTCGAAGACCCAGAGTCTCGTGAATCGTATTTCGGAAGGACGAGACGCGCGCCCGCGCCGGAGCCGATGTATACAGTGGCTCGTTCGAGTTACTGAATGACCGCGCACGCGATACGCCATGGATTTATATGAACGGAGGAAGATTACAATTTCCCAGAGATACGTGGAAACGCATGACGTTTCGATGTGTAGTAGTACCTGTCTACGGTAAAGGAATGTGATTCATGACACTCAATGAGCTATCCCGGAGTAACACGTCACTCGGTTGAAGTTTAAAGTACCTATATAGTCGGGGGCGATTCTTGGACGGTATCCAAGCGTATTAAATGATGTCGGATTCTCTTCTCGGAAAATGCAATTTTATCCCCGATCGCGGGAATGCAGATTACAAACGTTCCAGAAAGCGAATCATTTGTCAAATGTCTATCGATTATTCTCAGTATTATTTCTTTTATTCGAAAATTATATGTATATTAATCAGGGTTGGGTAAGTTAAAAAGATAAAAGTTAAGTTAAAAAGTTAATTATAATAATTTTAACTTAACTTAGTTACATTTTAGACTCTTAACTTTTTAACTTAATTTAGTTACATTTTATCGGTAACTATTAATTTTTAATTTGATTTTTTTGAAGTTAATCCTTAATGCTAGAGGCTAATGAGTATATAATTTAGTAATTGTATCATCGTTGCTTGTGAATAAAAATAACCAGATTCTTTAATAAATAAGCTGTGAGAAAGGAAAAATTATGTAAAATAGTCAAACTTTTTCTTTTTTTTCTTGGTTGTTCGTTTGAACAGAATTTAACTTTTAACTTTTTAATTATTTTTTTTATTAACCTAACTTTTAATTCAATTAATTTTATTATGGATTAACTTGTATTTTAATTAAGTTAAATTTTCAAGGCTGTTAACTTTAACTTAACTTAGTTAAAAAAAAAGATAACTTACCCAACCCTAATATTAATAATTGAAGGGTGCAATATGTCTTGATGAAAATGAAATTAGCATTAAGAAATATGTATGCAATATCTCAGTATATACAGGGTGTCTGATAATAAGTGTAACGCTACTCACGGAATTGAACTGAATAAAAAACATCCTGTATCATTTCGTGATTCTTGCAATAATTAATTAATAAAAATCTGCGTATGAACGTACATCTGTGCGATTCAACGACAAAAGACAGAAAAAATATTAATCTACATTTTGAAATGGTCTCATCTAAGCAACGTGATTATACAGTAATAAAAACAAGTAGGCATTATGCATCGTTGTTTGCATTGACTTCTAACGCCTACATGTTTTTATTATTGGTTTTCAAACTTCGGGAGTCTTTATTGTGATTACGTTATTATAAGTTAGTAACTTTCTGACAATTAATAACTTCATTTTTTTCTGCAAATTTCATTCAGAAAATAGAGTACTTTCCCATCGTAACGCGACGCCGGTTATCGATAAATACAGAGAACGATTATTATCGCGGGGATTTATGTATGTATGTTCATTCATTCTAGGATCATGAATATCTCGTAATTCTTATTGTTCCGCGAATGATGGTAAAATTCTGCCGAGTACATGCAAATATTAGCATTTAGCCTATAGACATGCACAGGTAACGTGAAACGCTTTACATTTGCCAGTGATTGTAAAGTATCGTGATTTTCTAAAGTATTGTCTAATGTACTATTGTTTTCCGAGTCATGGCTTATAAATATAATGAATAATTTACAGTAAATAATTTGCGGGATAGACTTAATATTAGTTGAAGCCATACATATTATGAAGTACTCTGCGCGGTTATGGGTTGTCTAAATAAAATTTGGTCTAGATGAAACTATAATATTATAATAACAACGAGCATTTCATTTCGATGTTACTTTTCAACCTGCCACGTGGGAGTAAGTGAGAGTTGCTCGTTCGTTATAGTTTTTATATTCCATCGCGACATTAATGGCACGTTAAACCATCAGAAACTGTCAGTTCGCCATAACCGCAAGACGGGACTTCGGTATCGTCACGCTGGCCGGAGTCGCATGCATATTCCCGGAAAAATTAGCGACGTGACATTACACATTCGTCATCCTGCGCCTGACACTATCACCCACGACGGGAAGCAAAGGAAGTGCGGCGGTTTCGACGACCGCGCGCGGAACAACCAGGATCTCTCGCCCGTTATTTCAACATCCGCGTTGTCGTAAAAAAATCGGAGGTCTGTCGTTGTGTCGCGCCGAATCTCGCCGCGCTTTCAGGAGAGTCCTATCAAAGAAAAGGGCCACCGAGAGGAATCCTGATGTACAGTCTACGGAGGGTGCACTGAAATGCACCCTGTCTTTCTCGTAAGATCTTCCGGAATGGGATATCTTTCGCCGGAACGTATATAAATACATAGCGATATACGGGGCTGTTGTCGAATTTAAAAGCGATAATCTTTTATATATATA